TTCTGGATTGTCCTTAAAATGTCTCTAGTAATTTTGTATAATAAAGCGCCAATCACTTCTAAATCAAAGTTACAAATAGGTGAGAGAAACAAATAAAGAGATGTCACCAGATGGATGAATGACAAGGTGCATGTGAGGAAACTCTTCATATCAGTGACCTGATCAATGTTCAAAACGGTCTGCATTACTTTAGTATAATTGCAGCATGGTTCCCTATTTGAAATATAGAGGTTTATAGTAATGCATTGTTGTGAGCCAGTCATCTCACATCTCAATGATGATGACGCAACATGATCTCAGACAATAATCTCAGGGTTAACCATATACAGAATGTTTCTCTGTCCATCGCATTATAAATGCCATTCACTATAAGCTCCACAAAGCAGTGTTTGCGTCTGTGTTTAAGCACTGCACATGTATACTGATTTGTCTCCTAGTAGCCTAATGTAATTTATCCAGGCCTGCTTTGTTCATCTATGGTGCTCCATTTCACACATTATTAATATTTTAACATTCTTGCATTTCTTTCCAAAATTCCAGCTTTAATGAAATAAATGGTTAATAGCAGTTTCCCCTTACCACTTGTTTCATTAAAGCTGGAACATTTCAAGAGGAATTTATACTGACACTTAAATAACTTGGCTGCATGAATGGACAGACGAATACAAATCTATAATAAGTGTAAATCTGCATGGTTTAGGTCATGGGGGCTAATGGTTGACCATGTGTCCATCGATCAATGGGTTTTCATTCAAAGATCTTACCGTCACTGTGATTCACTCATGTCTTTATGGAAAATCCACCTACGGCATTTAACGGTTCTCATGAAACAAGTGATATTTACATAGTGATTCTGCCTGCTGCATTCAGACTTTTTTAAATGCAAATCCAAGAACCGACTATGGTGATCAAAGGCGTGGAAAAACTATTTTATTGGTTAACAATCTGGATAAAGAACATCAAGACAATATGAGGCTGATAGCACATCAAAAGACAAACTGAATTACACACTGATTCATGTCAGAGAGAAGGGGGTGGAGAAACAGCTGAAGAACAGATCACAAGCTATAGATGAAAGCCTATATGAGGAAGGGGGGCTAAAATGACCAATGTCAAATATACTGGGTAAACAGTGGCTGAAGAGCTGATGGTGCCTTGTTTTGTGTAAATGTTAGGTAAAACAACCAAACAATATTGTCCCACTCTGTCCCGCTTTGCTAATGCAAATTGCAAAACATACAGTTCATTTAACAGTGTTGTCTCACTATATGGGGTAAGTTGTCACAATTGAACCTAAACAGTGCAAAATCATTGTTTTGGTCATATATTAACCTAATAGATAGTAATAGATTGTATAAATGTATAACATTTAAAATAAAAATGACTAATAAAAAATTTGACAACTTGCCCCAATCTGTTATTTATGAATAACCTTGTCCTGAGAACAAAGTCATTTCATTATAGTTAACTAAAAACTGAATGTATAGTGTGGTTGTATTTTACCCAACATCTAGCAAAAATGTTTCAAAGTTTTTGAGAACAGAATTTATAACAAAAAAAGAAGAAGCTTTTGACCTACTAGATGTTGGAAACCCCCATACCAAATTACTGATAGAGAAAACAAATATTTGTGTAATTGCACTTTTGACACAAAACCGGTGATTCCTACACCTTGTGACAACTATTACACTGTTGCCCCACTCTACACAGGCCTATTATTTAAGGCACATCTCGTTTAGTGTCAATTATAGTGATGTTCATAACCCCCTTTTTTTTAAGATTTGTAGTTCGACGCTGACATAATTCGTGACAGCATCTGTCACACACAGCATGCTAACAAACCAACAAAATGCTAGCAATGAGCAAAGGGTTTGTTTGTGATAAATCAGACTAAGATATATATATATTTTTACATATTATATTTAGCTGGATTAATATATTAATAAGAAAATTAATGAATTATATTAATATATTTAAATTAATTTTAAGTTATCTCACGGCCCCTGGAGGATCACTGGGGCCCCCTAGTGGGCCGTGTCCCCACTGGTTGAGAACCACTGTTTTAAACCCACAAACAACTGACCCTCGTTCCATCTCTCTCTCTCTCTCTCTCTCTCTCAATTTCAATTTCAAAGAAGCTTTATTAGCATGACAATACCAAATAACAAAGCATCATCATATTATATATAAATATTAAAACAAACTAACAACTAAAACATATATGTGTGTTGATCATGTCATAAGTGGCAAATAAATAAATATACACAATCTATCCTAATAAAGGAATAAATACAATGGGTCTCAAGAGAATTAGCTGTCTCTGGCATTGTGAGCTAACAACACATATTTAGCTGCTAGTGCAAGACCACAGCAAGTGTGTTTAGAGGATGAGGTTCTGCTGAGCTTTCATTGGCAAGGAGAGCTTTATATTGGACTGACTCTGGATCAGACTGGCGGAGGTCATGCCAGAACTGAACACATCTCATCTGGATCTCGATGTTCAGCGGGGACTGGCCTAACTCAGCCCTGCAGGTGGCAGTGGATGTGTTTCTGCACTGTAAAAAAAATATTGTTGGTTTAACTTAAAAAATGAAGTAACCTGGTTGCCTTAACTTTAAGTTCATTGAAATTGAAAAATTGAGTTGTTTTGACAGAAGAAAAAATGTTATGATAACTAATCATGAATTTTTTTTATTATTGTTTTTTTTTTTTTTTTTTTTTTACAGTGTGAACCCCTAAAATATTTAAGCAATTTCCAAATGTAGTTTATCTACTGATGTTTCAACCCATTTTTTTTATTTAATACTGGTCCCCAAATTTCACATCCATAGAAGAATTTATCAAGGTTTTAATGGCTAATTTTATGTTATATTAAAAAAATGTTTTACCTTGGTAATCTTTAATCAAAATCTGAAAAGTTACTTCCGGTCTGGAATGGTTTCTTTTTCTGATGACGTAGGTTTCACAGCTTGGGTGGGGAAACGCTTAACCACTCCCCTCAAACCGTTAGTTTGCTATGAGCGAGAAATGGAGAGGAGGAGCGCTAGAGTAAAACCCTGCCCTCTATTCAATATTCTGTTTCACTTGGAAATACGTCACAGCACTGGAGAAAAATCGTTTGCAACTTCCGGTTCACGGAGACTTTAAAGCTGAAGTCTGCAATTTTTCCTCTTTGTCGTCATCTCTGTTCGAAATCTGCAATTACAGTCATTCGTGGAATTGTCAACTTTACGCGAGTTGTAGTTCGACACCGCACAGCAACACATGAACGGACAAACACAGTGTTTGAGGAGAGTGTGCAGCTGTCAGTCGCATTGCGTGACTACATGTATTGTCCTTCCGATATTTATCCTTGTTTTCGCATGGGTCCGGTTGTCCAAAGTCCGAACAAAGTCCTATTCATTTTACAGCGGGTAAATCTGTTGTCACTGGTGATTGTCGTTTGAACCTTGATCCGCCATCATGTTGATTAGTTTAATTATATCAAGTGCTGTGAGAAAAGACAATAAATATCCACCTCCAACATCCTCACACGGAATATAGCTACTAGCCGAGAATGTTTTCTTTATGTGTACGGATGTGACGTAATGACTCAATATATCCTACTAGCCGAGACTCCTTCTTTTAGACAGTCAGTGGACATACATTCATCCAGTATTTTTAATATAGTACTGTTCATGTTTTCTTTGAATTGATCCGAGTTGGACTGATTCCATTTAAAGGTACAATATGCAAGATTGTTTCGCCACCAGGGGTCGCTAACCTCTTACAATAACAAAGGCGTATATTAATGACGTATATTCCGCATTAAGCGGAATTATGGATCTTTTCGTCAAGCTGATGGATCTTTTATGGATGAGTGAATACATTGATGTTTTTACCATGACTGTATGAAGCAGGGCGTGATTGCTAGACGTATACCAGTGCCACACGCAACGCGAGTCCCACGAATATAAAGGAATAAGGACATTTAATTCTACCGAACTACACGCTGAATTACTCACACATGTCAGTTTATAAGAGGAATTAAACTTGAGGTAACAGCGCTGCTTCACTTGCTCTAACAGTTTCACTATCACACTAACAGCATTTGTGTGTGTTGAATGTTGTTAGTTAGGCCTAGGTTGTTTGTTGGCTGTATGAGACTAAGCTAGATTAACATTAGAGAATAACATACAGATCATATTCTAATCATATTCTAACTTCATATTCTAACTTTTCATGATGTTGAACATGAACATGATGTTACATTGATTTGCTCACCTGTTTTCTCAAGTAACATGCAACACTCTGTCGAAGTTAGTCGCGGACGTGGAGCTCTCGGCATCTCAAAAGATGTTGATCTTCGTTTTAGTCCTCTTTTTGTTTCAAAGTCTGCTTGCCATGGTCCATGTTTGAACAAACATTACATGAACAAACGTTTGAACCCTGCTAGGGACGCTCACGCTGTTGAGCACGCATAACGGTTGTCCACGTCTGTCGCCATGGTTACTATTGCAGTACGAGGTCAAACCGGAAACCGGCAGTAACGCGGATATGATATCATTGACTGGCGACTCCTCACCCCTGCTCACCTGCACGCCCCATTTCCTTAGTTAAAAATCGCAATTTTCTTATGATTTACAAATAGTTGGTAACATTTGGGATATTGTAAGTAATCAACTAAACAAAATATATAACATTGGCCTAGTGTTTTTTTTACTGCAAAAATCCTGCATATTTCACCTTTAAGTTTAGTCTTTCTCTCTCTCTCTCTCTCTCTCTCTCTCTCTCTCTCTCTCTCAATGCATGGACTTCAGCTACTGTTCACCATTAAAACTAGCGATGCATTAATAGTAATGAACAACGCATTATTGATAAAAAAAGAAAACAAATGAAATCGAGCCGACTCCCATCGTTCACTTAAATGAGCCGAGCCGAGTCCGACTCTTTCGCGAACGACTCATCACTGAAACAGCTGCGTTCCAATTTCTCTCTCTCTCTGACTGCGTTCACTTCCTTATTTTCACCCCCCTTCCTCTCGTGCTCTCTCCTCCTCTACATCCTCAATCTCTCTCAGCAGCAGCAGTTTGTGCGAGAGAACTGGCACCAAACTGACGCATCCATGGGGCGCGCGCAGCATCTTTATTTCACCACATTACAATTTGAAGTCATTTAGTGGAATATTCACGCCAACGCAACAAGCACACGTCAGTCGTTCGGCGTTTAATCTTCAGGCTTAAAACTCTGTCGCTCCATCTCTGTCTGTATTTGTAACATTTGTAGCTGTGTCGATCTGTGGTGATGGATGGGGATGCGTGTGTTCGCGTGTGGACTCGACCGCTGCATGTGATGCTCCAGCAGAAGAAGATCAAAGCGCGGAGGAAAAAGCGCAAGGAGTTGTTCGGGGGACAGATGTGCTTCATCGGGCTGCTGCTGCTGGCGGTGTCCGGCTTGTCTAGTTTGGCCGAGAAATCCGGTGAGTTTCGGTTCAGTATTTGTCAGGAATGTGTGTTTCTGAAAGCGGAGGGGGGCAATGGAAAGTTTTACGGGAGAATCATACTCGCACTCGGAAGTGTTTAGTAGAGAACCGTATACTCGAACCAATGCACCGACTTTTAAAGGGAAACATGCGGAATCACTATTAACTGTTCCATAATGAATGCATTTCTGAAACAGTTAAAAGTTTACAGAATTCGGCTACACAACTGTTTTAGATAAACATGCTCGCACTTTTTAAAGAGTCATATAGCCTACACTATTAATCATTTTAGCCATACTTAAGAGTTAAATTTTTGAATGAACCGTAGGCTATTCATAACATTTTGGTGAATCGTAATGACACTAACGTTAGCTATAAACTGTTTTAGAGAGCTAAACTTAACAGTTAGAAAACTGTTTATCATATTAACCGTTCTAGACAGCTGTATACTCACACTTGTAACTGTTAAATTGCTTCACACTCTTACAATGAACTGTCTTAGACAAGCCGACTGTTAAATAACCAGAGTTATTTACAATGTTAAAGGGTTTCACCCAAAAAGGAAAATTATGTCATTAATTACTCACCTTCATGTCGTTCCAAGCCCGTAGGACCTCCTTTCATCTTCGGAACACAGTTAACCTGTTAAACAGGTTAATTATGTTAGATTTAGTCAGAGAGATTTCTCTCCCTCCATTGAAAATGTAGGTATGGTATACTGTCCTTGTCCAGAAAGGAAATAAAGACATCATCAAAGTAGTCCTTGTGACATCAGTGGGTTAGTTAGAATGTTTTGAAGGATCAAAAATACATTTTGGTCCAAAAATAACAAAAACTACGACTTTATTCAGCATTGTATTCACTTTCGGTTCTGTTGTCAATCCGCGTTTAGTGACGCTGATGGCGTAATGACGCTGTCATTTCGTCAAAATCCGTTAAATTTACGTTAAATTTGCTTGCTTGTTAAAAGCATTTCTACCTCTCATGTTTACATTATTGCGACATTGTAGGTCTTGCATGAAGTTCCTTAAAAGTTGGCAAATATTGGCATAGGGGCTTATCAGCTTGTCTAGTTTTGTCCGCTCCCTGATCCATGATACCGCACAATCTGAATCCGTCCACACACACTCCATCTGTCCATTCGTATCTGTGCAACTCAGCACAAAAATAATGACTCTTCATAATAATCTTACTATTAAATATATCCCCTTTGAAAACCATTCAGGATGTGCACATCTTTCATATACCCTGACATACAAAACAAAAGATCTTTTCATATAATGCTCTGCATGTTCACTTCACATTTAAAGATAATCTTGTTGTATAACATTATCTTGACAGCTCTGATTTAATTACATTAAAAGGGTCACTTAATTCTATTTTGAGTATTGTGTGTAATAGACTGTTAATATGCTTTAATGTTCAAAAAATACATTATTTTTCACATACTGTTCATTATTGTAGCTCCTCTATGCCCAGTCTTTCTAAAACACGTCAGTTTCTACAAAGTCCCTCCTTCCGAAAGGCGCAGTGTTCTCTGATTGGCCAGCTGACCCAGTGTGTTATAATTGGCCGCACACCTCAGCATGTGTGGGAAATGTAACACCCCTTACCATAATCGCAAGCTTCAGCTTCTTAAGCAATTATAAAGACAGCTAACAATGTCATCAGTTTTACCATATCAGTTTGAGCCCAAGTCGTATTCTAAAAATGCAGATGACGAAGCCTATTGATCTGAACCTGATACTCGTCTGTATTTACAGTACACAAGCCGCGATTCAGCTGACAAACGCCGCCAGTGTGAAAGCACAAGGGGTGTGTGCTTGAGTGGCCAATGTAAAACAGAACACGTAGTGCACCTATGTTTGTCATCTTTATACCACAAGTTAAAAGCGGAGAACAGAGAATTCTATGTTTGCAAACATAAATCCATCTCTGCAATTTTGATCGTAAGAACGACAAACAATATGCGTTATTCTACACTGCACAAAACTCTGCATTTGAACAGTCAATAGCAAATACTGTACTTTAAAAAATAATAAAACATACTTACAGGCTCTGATTCAGAAGCACCAGATTGCCCTATAGCTAAGTTGAAATTGCCCCATTTTTTTTAGAAATAGCCTTTTGTGCACAGCCGGCCTTGTGCTCTCCCACTAAACTTTTGGGTTGTGCTGTTCTAGAACAGTGTTGAACTGTCCACTTTTTTTGGAAATAGGCTCATTTTACCACTCCCCCAGAGTTAAACAGTTGAGTTTTACCGTTTTTGAATCCATTCAGCCAATTTTCTGATATTTAGAAGAATATAAGTAACCAGACAGTTTCTGGTCTCATTGACTTCCATAGTATATTTTTTCCTACTATGGAAGTCAATGGGACCAGAAACTGTCTGGTTTCTGATATTCTTCTATATATCAGAAAATTGGCTGAATGGATTCGAAACGGTAAAACCCAACTGTTAAACACTGAGGGACTTGTAAAATGAGCCTATTTCCAAAAAAAAAAAAAAAAAAGTGGAGTATCCCTTTAAGGCTGTTAGATGAAATGGATAGAGCATTTAATTTACACGTAGAGTGTTTTAATATATAAAGGTAGCTCCTATTTTGCAAATGCCACAAGGGAAAGCAAATGAAGAGAAGTGGAGAAAGTGACGAGGTGGATTTGGTGGGAAGAATAGGGAATGATAAAGGCAGGGAGAACTGAGTGGCCTGCCAGCCAGAACAGACGCTGATATAAAGTGACTTCTCTGTCAGTTGCTGACTGGCTCTGACAGACGTGCTGCCTGCATTTGGGCCTGCTAGCCAGGCTTCTGAGCTTTGTTTTTTTGAGGCACTGATTTTATTGATTGATTGATCCATTTGTTTATTTTCATGGTTTCTTGTGTTCCCCATTTTCTTTCTCTATCTTGCTCTCTTGCTCTCATTTCTCAATACCCTTATCTCTCTCTTGCACTATTTGGACAGGATTAGTTTTTCAAATGGCTTGAGTCAAATTATTACCAGAGGACATCTGTGATGTCATGTACTGATTCGGACGGGATTTGGAAATCTATAGTTTTTTGGGGGTTTTTTCCCCCGTCATTTTACCAGGAAAATGTCAACAAAAACATCCAGGCAGGGCCATAAGAATATTCAATGAAAGTCATGTTAATGATTATGTTTAATATTAAATGCATATAAATGAGAAGATGTGTGTGTATATATGAAGAGTTCAGATGCAAAAGCCTCTAAATGCCATTTGAAATTTTCTTCTTTAATGATGAGTTTTATCAAACTTGTATATTTATGTTCAGTAATTTCACTTAAATAACAATTAATAGGTAATTGTCATTGCCATTTAAGTGAAATTACTGAACTTAAATATACAAGTTTGATAAAAATCATCATTAAAGAAGAAAATTTCAAATGGCATTTAGAGGCTTTTGCATCTGAACTCTTCATATACAGTATATATATATATATATATATTCAGACAAAATATCTCCTCTGAGTTAGCAAAAAAACAGTACGCACCACATTTTTAGCCAAGGTTGTGTGAGAAAAACAATGTTTTCCTGCCCAAATGGGGCTTTTGACGTCAATTAATTTTCCCTGTGTGCCCAGATGCTCCCAGGTACCTCATGTTCATGCTTGGCATCCTTTCATCTGGAAGAAAAAGGGAAAGAAAGAAAAATGAACAATGTGTTAGATCTTCCTATTGTCTAGGATTATTTTGGACAATTGGAGAGGTTTGGCATGTTTTGGTTCAAATTTCGCAACACTTTCTCTAACAGGTTTAAGAAATGCACAGCCCTGGATAAACCTTTAGGTTTAATTGTTTTCCTCAGTCTTGGTCTCTGGCTGTTGTGTAATGTTTGTTAGCCCTAACTAATAATTGCTGCTTTATATGGATATAGTTATTAAACCTATAGAAATTTCTACAGTCACCCCCTTTTTAGCAAAATTTCATGTCAATATTTTACAATACATGTTTTAAAACAATAGAAATACTGTTAAAAAAATCAAGATAATTATTGTGACAATTTCTGGTTGTCAAATGTTGCATAGATAGAAAATATGTAGGCTACTAGCCTCAATATTTTATATTATTCCTTCTTTCACTTGGAGTGTCCTTGACATTGGTTCAAATGACTGAATTTTCAATCTTTCTATGCGTCATGTGAACTGTGGACAATAGAACACCTGAAAGGCTCGGGTTCTCAGCAAAATGGCTGAATTCCGTTCAAATGAATAAAAGTCATTTGACCAAACTTTTTAGTTCCCTTTTTAAGCTAATGTTGCATCACTAAATCTTGCAATCATTGATCATGTTCATTGCATTGCATTTCAAACTTTAACATTTGTTTCTTTGTGATGTATTGAATGTTGTGTGTGGGAATTCTGAGTGAGCATATGAAATTGCAAGAAATTGTTTATCTGGTGACCTGGCAGCTTAATTGATTTTTACATAGCTTTCCAAGTAGGATTACTTCTTGTTGTTCTTAACTCTCTCTCTCTCTCTCTCTCATTCTGTTCTGACCAGCTCATTTATCATCCACACTGGTCCACACCTTTAGTCTCTTTTGGAGCAGAGCGGTTCATTATTTTAGCTAGTTTTACACCACGCTGGGCCACAAGCCTGACAGCAAGCTAGTCCCAGATGGATGACATGAGATGGATCAGTGCTGTAATTGTAATTCTATATCGCACAGACAAATTGATGGTTTGGAAAATATGCGAAATATCAGAGGTCTAACAGTGTTCAAGTTGCAGATTTGTGGCCATTGAAACCCTTGAACAGGATATTAGGTGGCACTGTAACAAAGGTGTAAATTAAGTGTTCCATATAATATTATGATATATTAGGACCATATCAGTTATCGTATTGGTTAATAATATCAGGATATATCATCTGAAATCACATATTTAACTCTCCTTTACACTTATTTTTTAGATCATAGGTTACTTTAGCCATCATCGAGCACTAACTTAAAGGGATTGTTAACCCTAAAATGAAAA